GAGTGCAGGGCTGGTTCAGACTAACGGTGCCTGTAATGACTGTGCCGGAGCTGAGCAGGATCGATGGCCAGCGCGTGCTGGCGGCGGGCGCTCGGCCGTGGCTGACAGCCAGCACTTGTGTGCTGACGGTGGAAATGGGCTCCCTGTGCCCAGACACAGCTGCCAGCGCTCCCGGTGTGCTGGCTGTGCCTGCGCTGGCTGCAGGTGGCTGGGCCCTGCTGCAGCCCCCCCGGCACCTTGTGAGGGGGGCCCAGCCAGCTCCTGTCATGACTGGAGCCCGGCACATGCGGTCGTTGCCGGGCTGGAGCGCTGGTTTCCAGCCCCAGGATCAGTGCCAGGCTGTGGTGACAGGCCCTGCTGGGAGCTCCCAAACTGGTGTGGCTGTGCTGGCTGTCCCTGGGGCACTGGGGACCCACATCCCTGTGTTCCTGCCTGGCAGAGCTGGGGCTGGTCTCCATCCTGCATCCCAGCTGTCACAGCTCCTCTGTATCTCCACCCATGGCTGCCATGCTGCAGGCTGTGACGTGCCAGTCTGGTGCTGACTGTGCAGGACAGCCCCACATGGGGGTTAGGGACCCCAGGCCTGAGGGATGTGGGATGGGGTCCCCACAGCACTCATGTATGGTGTTGCTGGTGGAGGGGATTCTCTGGTAGACAGAGCTGGTGCATGGTGGTCCTGTAGGTATCCTGCCCTGAGCTGTTTGGTGTAGGGTCTCTGCCTCCCTTCCCAGGAGTGGTGCCTGGCTGCTCCAGTCCTGTCAGCCATGGAGCAGATGTCCTGCACAGCTGCTCTCTGCCTTCCTGGGGTGGTCAAAGTCAGGTCTGGCTCCTGTGTGTCACTGCATCACCTCAACTTTGGTGCTGGCCATGGTGGGGCAGGAGCACATCATCTCTGCCTGTGGCACGTTTCAGGGGCTGCTTCTTCCAACACACAGGCAGGCCTGGCTCCTGGGGGTCCTGCTGCCACCCGTTTGTACCTCCATGTGCTCCAGTTCCTGCTGTGCTGGGAACACTGCTCTAGGGGAATGGCAGGACAGGGACTGGGAGCAGGACAGGGCCACAAAGAGCTGCAGTCCAGGCTCCAGGCAGGGAGCTCCCGGGACAGCCAATGCCTGCCCTGATCCCCTTCTGCTCTCTTCTAGATGGGTCCCTCCACAAGCACCTTATCTGCAAGGTCAGTGTTCCCCACCATGGTGATCCCTGTCAGGGCCGGCACTCGGCGAGCCCCCCAGCCAGTGCAGGTGGCAGAGCCTGGGGAGCCGAGGCACCTGCAGAGTGTTGGAGGGGCAGAGCAGTGTCGTGCTCCCACCCCTGGCATCCCGCTCCTGGGGCATGGATGGCACCGCTGCAGGGCTGTGACCCAGGGCTCTCCCTTGGCCCCCAGGTGCAGTGCATCGCCACGCTTCAGGTGGGCTCCATCGAGGCAGGTAATGCAACTGAGTGTGGACAGTGCTTCAGTCTCTCCTGGATGCCGTCCAAGCCCCACCATCACCTTGCAGCAGGCTTTTATGACGGTGAGTCTCCTGTGCCCTGCGGCAGCACTCGGGGAGCAGCCTTCACCCTGGCAGAGCACTGGAGCCTTGTGCTCAGCCTCAACTGGTGCTGGCACCTCTGCCCAGCCCTGGGTCAGAGGAAGGCTTCTCTGGGCTGGCTGTTGTCACTCTGACGTACCTCCAGGCTGGTCACTGGTTAGGGTTAGGGCAACTCTGTCCACTGCTGGTCCCCCACCAAAGCACCTGTGGCATTGGCAGTACCTCATGGGCACAAGTCTTTCCACAGGCACCGTGGCGGTGTGGAACCTGCTCACCAAATCCCTGCTGCAGTGCGTGCACCAGCCTGATGCCTCCCTCAAGCTCTACCCTTTCCGGTGCTTTCTAGCCCATGACCACGCAGTCCGGAGCATTGAGTGGTGCAAGGCTGACAGGTGAGGGCAGGAGCAGGTACAGATGCTGCCAGGAGAGGAGCTTCCTCCTTTGTCAAGAAGGGCTTGGGAGGCCATGGTGCCAATGGTACTTGGCCCCCTGCAGCACCAGAGGGGTTGGGTTGGGCTTTCCAGGGGAGGGCAGTTGAGCTGCTGCAGGACTGGGGCCACCAGTGCCCCGTGGTGGGGCAGGGCACAGCTCCATGCTGGCCTCTCAGTGCTGCCTTTCTCCTGCTTCTCAGCAACTTCCTGGTCACGGTAGGCAGCGATCGCAAGATCAAGTTCTGGGACCTGCGTCGGCTGTATGAGCCCATCAACAGCATCAAGCGGTTCCTGAGCACTGAGGTGGCCTGGCTGCTGCCCTACAACGGCATCACTGTGGCCCAGGACAACTGCTATGCCTCGTGAGTGCTGGGGCCAGTCCTGCTGCCAGGGCCTGGTCAAACTTCCCAGGGGCCCCTCTGGTTTCCCCCTCCCTGGGACTGTCCAGCTGTGCCATGGCAAGGGCAGGCCCTGCTTGTTTTGGGTCACACCGCACCAGCACAGCGTGACATCCCCTCTGCTGTGCCACTCTGAGGCAGAGGCAGGGTGGGCCAGGGGATGGCCTACCCCTGAACTGGGCAACAGCTGTGCTGCTAAAGAGGTTTAGGGTCTCGGCAAGTTCTTGGCCTCTGGGAGCTGCCTTGAGTCCTCTTGACTCTGTGAAATGCTGCTAGAGCAAGAACAGCCCGCTCACCCTGGGGCAGTTCTGTGGGGAGGTGGGCTGTGCCTGGCTCTCCAGTTCCTGGTGACAGCAGTCAGGCATCCCATGCCTCATTCTGTCGCTTCCTCCACAGGTATGGGGTCTGTGGGATCCACTACATCGACGCCGGGTACCTGGGCTTCAAGGCCTATTTTGTGGCCCCTCGCAAGGGCACTGTGTGGGTAAGGGCCAGTGCAGGGCCGTTCTGTCCCAGTGGCCAGGTCAGCCCCAGCTGGGGCTCAGGGCTTGCGGGGGTGGTGGGAACCCTGTGCCCTCCAGCCCTCTGTCCCTGCAGAGCATCTCTGGCTCGGACTGGCTGAACACAGTAGCTGCAGGTGACATCACCGGTGAGCTGGTGGCAGCGGTGCTGCCTGACCTGGCTGTCAACCCCCTCAACGTCAAGCGCTCCTCAGATCGCAGATTTGTAAGAGACCATTGCGCTCAGGTGGCCCAGCCCGGGCACACAGGGCTGGCGGGGGCAGGGGGGACCATAGGAAAAGTGTCCTGGTGGTCCCTGTCTGCAGAGAAGCGGCAGGATCTCTGTCCACCCTCCCCTGAGCCCGCTCTCACCCACAGCCGGTGTACAAAGCTGACCTGCTGCCGTGCAGCCCTGATGGGCCTGAGTGCGCCGAGCAGGCGCTGCCCAGGACCCATCGCTACAGTGAGATGGTGGCCAGGAGCTACATCCGATTCCAGGACACAGACCTGGTAGGAGAGGACGGGGGGCAGCCGGGGTCCGGCCTGTGAGCAGGGCTGGTGGGGCTGTGGCTGGGCAGTGGGGTTGGCAGGGCCAGGAGATGCTGGTGGGGCATTGGGGCAGCCCCTTACCTCGGGCAGGGCCGAGATCATGGTGCAGGCGATGCTCCTGCCTCGGGCCTGCAGCCCAAGGTGGTGCCACCGCTTTCCAGCGCAGCTTCCAGAACTTCCCAAGCCGGGAGCCCATGCGCCGGATGCACAAGCAGGAGCTGAAGGCAGAACTGAGCCTTGACCGCCTGCAGCTGGAGGCCCTCCACAAGGTGAGTGGGCCAGGCTGAGCCCCAGCCCTGCACACAGATGGTCTGCTCTGGGGCCCAGAGTCCCAGCACCCCAACCCCCTCCCTTAGGAACTGCTCTCTTCCCACAGGTGCGCTTCAGCCCCAACCTGGACTCGCAGGGATGGCTGGTGTCGGGTGGGCAGGCGGGCATTGTGCGGGCACACTGCCTGGTTGGGCTGGCCTCTGGCGTGGGCCACCAGCTGCTCCCAGAGTGCCAGGCCCGCTTCAGCGTCCTCTATGGGGACACAGCCAGCAGCCCTGGCCCCCCTGAGCACTCCCTGCTGCCAGCAGAGTAGGGCTGTCAGTCCCTCATGCTGCTGCCATGTGCTCACCCTGGGCAGGGGCTGGGGCCAGCTGTGCTGGCATGGGGCTGTTGGCCCCCTCAGTGCTGCTTTCCCTATGGGTGTCTGCTGCAGGAGGGACAGCTGCTCCCAGACATTCTCTGGGATGCTCTGGATGCTTGTCCTCATCCTCTGGGCCTGGAAGGGTCTGTCTACACTGTTTGGTCTGAGCTGGGCAGGGGCTGTGGGACGTGCACATGTCCCAGGGCTGAGCTGTGGGTCTGACCCTGCAGACCCTTCACCAGCGTGGAGCTGTGCTTGTGCTCGCCTCCATCCCTGCTGTGCGCCAGAGGGCAGGGAAGGGGCTGGGAGCTGTGGAGTCGCTCACATTGAGCTTGTGTTCAGCTGTGCAGAATAAACGTGGTGGTTTTGTATGGATGTGGTGGTACTGGCACTGGGGCAGACGTGGCTGGTAGCGGTGGCTGTAGGGGCCCACCCCCAACTCCATCCTTTCCCTCCTCACTCCAGTCTGCTGCGCTGCTGCTGCACATTTATTGGCAGTGCTGGCACTGCTGCTGGCATAGATGGACAGGTGGACACCAGGGGCACAGGCACGACTCAGCAGAGGGAATGGATCAGGAACAGCAGGATTCAGATGGAGCTCAGGCAGCAGTGTGCGGGGCTGGGGCCAGGGCCAGGTCTGAGGTCCCCCATGGGGGATGTCCCCTTCTGCCAGGACAGACGGGCTCCCTGGGGACTGGGTGGTGGGGCAGGATTCCGCCTCCTCAGGAGCTGTGGCACATCAGGGAGTGGAAGATCCCAGGGAGCCCCTGTGTTCCACAGGCCTGGCCATGCGTCTGTCCCCCCAGGACACCGCACTGGAGTCACTGTCCCACCCCAGGACTTCGCAGCAGTGGTGTGGGGTAGAGGGGAGGATGAGATCTCAAGCACTGCCCTGCTCTAGCACGAGGAGCTGGGGCCAGGGCCACGTCTGGCCCAATGTAGCAGCGTGGGTGGGGGTCTCAGGCTTGGGGGTCCTGGCAGTGGGGACAGCCTGCTGTCTCCTCGTGGTGCTGCTCCACCTGTACTGTGCACAAGGCAAAGCCAAACCTGCTCTGGAGCCGGGCAGTGACCTCCTGCAGCACCATCTCGGCATCAGCGCTGGCATCTAGGAGCAGCAGGCCAGGGGCTCGTTCCTGGCATGGCCACTGGGATCCCCCCGGCCATGCCCTGTGCAGGTCACTCACCCACAGCCACGTGCACCGACACCGCGGGGTGGCTCAGCGTCAGCGCCCAGAGATGGAGGTCATGGACACCCCGCACCCCGCTGGTCCCCAGCAGCACGTCCTTCACCGCATCAAACTCGAGGCCCCGCGGTGTCCCTGCCAGCAGCACCTGCTCACAGGGGCCACCCTTGGCCCCAGCCACAGCACCCACCTGGCTGAGGGCTCCCAGTGGAAGCCACTGGGGCTGGGGGCTTCCCCAGGGGAACCAGGCTGAGCATGGTGGCTTTGGGGTGAGACAGGCCTCACCTTGGGGCCAATGCACCTGGCCAGGGTGGAGAGAAGGGACTGGGGGGATTCAGGTGTGGCAAGGGAGAAGGACACAAGAGGTGAGCTGCCTCGTGGGCTGCGGCAGACACAGCTCCAGGAGCTCCTGTGCCCATCCTGCAGCTGTGGTCTCACACCCCTCCCACTCACTACTCACCTTCCATGAGGACCCTGAAGACATCTCTGAGGATCGTGATGGTGGAGCCAAGGACGAAGACAGAGAAGAAGAGGGTGCTAATGGGGTCTGCGATCTTACACTGGGGCTGCAGAGAGCAAGGTGTCTGTGAGGCTGGGGGCAGAGCTGACTTGGCACCCTGCGTGGGACTAGCAGAGCTGTTCCCACAGGCAGCATTGGGGCAGTCCAGCCTGGGCACCTTGAAGTAGATGATGGTGGCAGCCACGAGGACACTGACGCTCTGCAGCAGATCCCCCACCACATGGACGAAGGCTGCCCGCACGCTGGTGCTGCCAGGCAGGGGGCTGTGGCTGGGCTGGCAGGCCACAGAGCTCTCCAGCTGCTCGTAGGCCCCTGTGCCATGGCCATGGCCAGCAGGGGACTGGTGCAGGATGTAGGCCATGCTGGGAAGAGCAGGGCTGGCTCAGTGCCACACTGACAGGGTATGGGGGCCCTGCTGGCCCTTGCTTGAGCAAAGGGGGCACAGGCAGTCACACCTGGGCCTTGGGACAGTGGGAGGAGTGGGGCTGGAGGTGCAGCAGGAGCAGGGCAGGGGTTTGGTCCTGGGGCTCATGACAGGGCTTGTGGGGTGCTGCTTGGGGGACCAGGGCAATGTGGGGTGTGGGGCTGGAGGCACATGGACTGGAAGCCCCAAGCACAAGGAAGACAGGGAAGTGGTGGGGGGGAGGCAGCACCTGGGGACACAAGACTGGTGCACAGGGACACAAAGTGACCTGGGGACACAGTTGGGGTTCCAGGGACATAGGTGGGGCAGGAGTCAGGCTGACGGTGCACAGGGACCACGGGTGCACAGCCCCAAGTGGGACATACACCAGATTGACGCCGACGGCGCAGGCGGATGTGGCCAGCATGGCTCGTGCCTCGATCTCGTAGTCATTGCTGATGATGCGGGCGGCCGCTAGATAGACAAGGGCTGCGGTCACAACCCAGATAGAGAGGACAGAGGCCAGTGCACCCAGTGTCTCTGTGGAATGACACCCATCAGCACTCAACCCGGCCATGGGGGTCCCCTGGAGCCCCGCAGGGCCGTGCCCCTCAGCTCACCCGAGCGGTGCCAACCAAAGGTCATGGTTTTGGTGGGTGGGCGGTTGGAGACCCAGAGGGAGAAGAGGCTGACGGACATGCTGCCCACGTCTGTCAGCAGGTGGGCTGCATCGGTCATGACGGCCAGGCTGTGTGCCAGGTACCCACCTGTGGGCACAGAGCAGCTGGCACCCTGTGCCCCGCTGGCAGCCCTCCACCCTGGCCCAGCCGCTGTTACCTATCACCTCCCCGACCATGAAGAGGCAGCAGACAGCACAGGCGATGCTCAGCTGCTGGCGGGCCTGGAGCCTGCCCTGCCCAGGGCTGGGGGTTGGGGGGCTGCAGCGGCAGTGGGGATCTGGGGGGGCCACCAGTGCCCAAGGGTCTCGAGAGCCTGTGAAGAGACTAGGGGCGGGGGTCACGGCCGGCAGCACCGGGCAGGTGCTCCCTGCCCAGAACCCCCGAGGGTCCTGCTACCGCCCGGTGTTACACAGCCGGGCAGTCGGTGCAGCCGGGCAGTCGGTCCCCAGCGGGACAAGCAGCCGCGGGACCGGCGGCAGCAGCAGGAGGCGGTGGCACGGGGGTCCCGCCGGAACCGGAGACTGGACTGGTGCGGGTACCCGCGGGGAGGTGCGGTTGGGAGCGAGGTGCTGTGCCTGCGGCCGGGCTGCGGGACGGGCCGCCCGTGCGGAGACGTGAGGCGTGGGGAAGGGGCGGCGGGGGCCGAGGTCCTGGTGCGTGGGGCAGCAGTGCGGGAGCGGGGACGGACAGCTCACAGGGACGGGGGCTAATGGATGGACCGTACCGGTGTGGGCGAGTGATGGATGGATGGTACCGGTGTGCGTGGGCGACGTTTGGGCGCCGATAGGTGCGGGACGGACGCCCGAGGGGGGGAGCGAGGCTGGCGCACGGTGGGGCTGGTTCCGCTTGAGCGGAGGTGCCGGTGGCTGGGCGAACGTGCCGGTGGCGGGGTGACGGTGCAAGTGGCGGATGGTCAGGGCTGGCTCGGGGACTGCGGAGGTGCCCATGTCCGTGTCGGATGGATGAAGGCACGGGCGCTGGCGAGGAGGGACGTGCCGGGAGTGCCGGTGTCGGGGGTGGGGGGGTGCGAGCTGGGCAGCGCGGGACGTGCCGGGGGCTTGCGGGTGCCGAGGGAGCTGGGGGTGATGGAGGTGCCGGCAGTACTGGTGCGGGAGGACCGAGGGTTGCAGATGCGGGGGATAATGGAGGTGGTGGTGAGAGAAATTGCCGGGAGCCCTGGGAAGTGACGGGGTGCCGCTGCCAGGATAATGGGGATGCCGATTGTGGAGATGCTAGTGCCGGTAATGGGGCTGTCGGGACGATGGTGTGCCGGTGGTGATGGAAGTGCCGGTGGTGACTGGAGTGTCGGAGGTGCCGGCGCAATGGGGATGCCAGTGATGGGAGTGCCGATGATGGAAGTGCCGTCGGCGCCGCAGACGCCGGTGATGGAGTTGTGCTGGCGGTGGTGGGGGTGCCGGGGTGATGGGATGCCGGGGTGATGGGATGCCGGGGTGAGGGGATGCCGGTGCCGGCGGTACCTCTTGAGGCGCAGGCTGCCGTCGGCGCGGCCGTTCCGCGGGCTGACCAGGCGGGCGCTCTCGGTGCCGGTCGGGGACTCCATCCCGGGAGCGAGCGGCACCGCGAGCACCGGCACCGCCGAGCCCCGCCCCTGCCGTGACTCCGCCCCCACGCGCGGGTGGCGGGGTGGTCCTGCCCGCGGGTCCGCGCTCGAGCGGGGACGGCCCCGGCGGCGTGCGAGGGGCTGGAGAGGGGCTGGAGAGGGGCTGGAGAGGGGCTGCTCGGGTGTTGAGGTCCGATGGATCTCCAGGCAAATACATGGGAGCTGTGCGTAAGGGGCGCTCTGCCACAGGAGAAGCTCTTCGGGGACAAGGCTCAGCCTCATCTTTTGTCCCTGGGCAGGTGATGACACAACTGATTCTGGAAGCCGTCTGTGCACAGGAAGGACAGGAAGGGAGCTGAGGAGAATCCGGCACAGTGTCACCGACGGGGATTGCGCCTGACCATTCCAGTCACCTTCCGCGGTGAAATGCCGAACCTGGTGCACGACGGGCGTGCAGGGGACAGTGTCTGCCCAGGTTACAGGAAGGCTTTTGACGCTGTACCGCTTGGGACCCTCAGCGAGAAGTGTTGGGAGCACGGGCTGGATGAGCCGGGAGGGGCTGCATTGAACTGGGGCTGCGTGGCCGAGCCCGGAGCAGGGTATTCACCGCCCGGTAAAGACCAGTGTAACCTCGGGGTTAGTACTGAGTCCAGTCCCGCCTCCTTTAGGGACCTGGAGGCCAGGCAGAGCACCCTCAGCACGGTGACAGATGACAACCGACCGGGGATAGGTGGCTTCACCCGGTGGGTCGTGCTGCTCCGTAGTGCGGAGGGATTCAAGATGGGCTGCAGAGACAGGGGGCAGGAGCTTGGGGAGGGTCAGCACGGGGCAGTGCAGGGTCCTGCTCTGGGGGGGACAGCCTCAGGACGGGCACCGGGCAGCCGGCTGGGAAGCAGCTCCGCAGAAAAGGCTCCGGGGGTCCTGGGAGACACCGAGTTGACCATGAACCAACAATGCACCCTTGGCACGTCCTGGACACCACTGGGGCTGGAGCGCTGGCTCCCCAGAACACGCGGGACAGGACAGGCTGGGGAGAGCCCGCCGAGCACCCTGTGATGCTGCAGGGCTGGAGCGGCTCTGCCGGGATAAGGCTGAGGGAGCTGCAGAGCCCCGGGGATCCCTGGCTGTGACACCTCTAGGGAGGCGGCTGCAGGTGAGCCCAGCGCTCGGGGCTGCCGGGGGCGTGGCCTGATCGGGGCGTGGCCTGATGGGGGCGTGGCCTGATGGGGGCGTGGCCTGATCGGGGCGGGGCCTGACCGGGGCGGGGCCTGACCAGGGGCGGGGCCTGTTCGCCGGGCCGTGTGCAGCACCGCCTGTCCCAGCAGCTCCCGCGGCCACGCGCGGCGATGGCGGCGGTGGGTGCGGAGGAGCGGCGGGGCACGACGGGGCCGGAGCGCGGCCACAGCTCCGGTCCCGGCCCGCTGGGCTCTCTGCTCAGCCGGTTGCCGCTGGCGCCCGCCCCGGCCCCACGGCGGCGCACCGCCAGCCAGTGCAAGCCGGAGCCGCCGCTGCTGCGCACCAGCAAACGGACTATCTACACGGCCGGGCGGCCGCCCTGGTACAGCGAGACCGGCGCGCCCGTAGATGAGGCCTTTGTCATCGGTGAGTGGCGGAACGGGGCCGGGGAGGGGATGGAGCCGGAGCAGAAAGGAGATGGAGCCGAGACTGGGCCGGGGAGGGGATGGAGGCCAGACCGGGGCCAGGGTCGGGCTGCAGTCGGAAATCCGTGGAACCGGGCCCCGAGCAACGTCCGAGGAGGGGCTGGGACCGGGCTGGAGCCGGATCCGGGGCCGTGACGGATCCGGGGCCGGGGCGGTGCCCCCGCCGCTCCCCGCAGGCCTGTGCGGCGGCAGCGCCTCAGGCAAGACCACGGTGGCGACGCGGATCATCGAGGCGCTGGACGTGCCCTGGGTCGTGCTGCTCTCCATGGACTCCTTCTACAAGGTGCGGGACGGGGGGCCCGGGGGTCCGGCACAGCGCCGAGCGGTGCCGATAGTCGCGGTTCCAGCGTACTGCTGAGTGGTGCTGATGCTCGTGGGTCCAGGGATCCGGTGCGACACTGAGCCGTGCTGGTGCCTGTGGATGCCAGGATCCGGCGCAGTGCTGAGTGGTGCTGGTGCCCCGGGCGTCCGGCACGGCGCTGAGCACTGCCGGGGCCTGCAGGTGCTGGATGAGGGGCAGCAGGCGCTGGCAGCCCGCAGCGACTACAACTTCGACCACCCCGATGCCTTTGACTTTGAGCTGCTCGTCAGTGTCTTGCGCAAGCTCAAGAAGGGCAAGAGCGTGAAGGTGCCGGTGTACGACTTCACCACTCACAGCCGGCGCCGCGAGTGGGTGGGTGCCACAGGGGCCACGCTGGGCCAGGGTGGCAGAGTCCCGGGAAGGGGGAACACCTCTGGTGCTGCAGGGCCTGGAAGGCTAAAGGGATGGGGCGGCTTGGGGTCATCATTCTGGGGAGACTGTGGGTGGATCTGCAAACGGGCCAGCACAGACATGAGGGAGGGACTCAGTGTGGAGGGGTGCTGGGGCAGATGGCATTGAGCAGAGGCTTGGATTCTGGAGCATGGTTCAGGGTCTGTCCTGGAGCATCATGCATAGGGATGAACTAGGGCTCCAAGACAGCGGGTGCTGCTGGACATCTATGGGGAGCCCCAACACAGTGGTGAAAGCCCAGGGAGATCAGTGCCCTGTCTGTGTCAGTGTTGGTGCTGCCATGGCATGTGAGAGAAACAGGACAAACCCAGCTTCTGTTTGCCTGCAGAAAACAGTGTATGGGGCCAATGTCATCGTGTTCGAAGGGATCCTGGCCTTCGCCAACAAGGAGCTGCTCAAGGTATCGCTGCCTCAGGTGGCTGCTGGCCTGGGAGGGGATGTGTGCCTGCAGCAGCACAGGCACTGGCCCACTGCAGCAGTGGGGGCTGTGGAGGGAAAGGCCACCCCACTTGCTGGCAGAGCACTGCATGTCAGAGTGTCAGGGGAGGTGATGCTGGGTGCCATTGCTGGGTGGTGGAGGGGAGTAACACAGGTATGATGAGAGCTGCATAGGGGGTGCTCACCCCTCCCAGTTTTCCAGCTTCTGGACATGAAAGTGTTTGTGGACACGGACTCTGACATCCGTCTGGTGCGGCGGCTGCAGCGCGACATCATGGAGCGTGGGCGCGATGTTGCAGGGGTCATCAAGCAGTACAACAAGTTTGTGAAGCCGGCCTTCGAGCAGTACATCGAGCCCACCGTGCAGGTTGCTGACATCGTGGTGCCCAGGGGTGAGGCCAGAGCTGACCCTGGCATTGGGAGTGGGTGATCTGGGGCAGGGGTAGGTCAGCGTCCCCCCCACCTGGCTCTTCTGCTCCACTCTCAGGTGGGGAAAACTTCGTGGCACTGGACCTCATTGTGCAGCATGTGCACAGCCAGCTGGAGAAGGTGAGCCAGGGCTGAGGAAGAGAAGGGTCCTGCATGCATGCAGAGGGCAGGATGTGGCTGCACACAGACCTGTGCTCCTGGAGCACCTGGGGCGGGTCTTGACATCACCTCTCTCTTCTCAAAAGGCCCTGGCATGGTGCTTGGGGGAGCAGATCTCTGAAGTGGGCACTGGGGAGGAGGGTTGGGTGCCCCCTGGGCTGTTGATATGGCTGTGCTGGCCTGTGAGTGACTGACAGGGTGTCCTTCCTGTTCCCTCGTGCTGCGCCGATGACCTCTCCACCATCCAGCGGGAGATTACAGTCAGGTACGTGGGACCCACCACTGCAGAGGAGCCAGTTCTGCGTTTGGGGGGGCTGCTGGCACCCACTGCATTCCAAGTCTTGCTGCCTTCCTGTCCCTGCTGGTAGAGCTTTGCTGAGGTGCCTGAGCATAGCTGCTCCTCCCCAGGGCTGCAATGGCTGTTGCCAGCTCCTTGGGGTCTATCTGGCTGCAGCTGTGGGTTTTGTGTGACACATCCCACACTGTGGCTGATGGAGGTGGCCAGCTCCCTGCCCTGGTCTTGTCCCTTTCTGAAGCAGGGCTCCTGTCCTGACTGCTGAGTTACCCTGGGCTGTTCACTTCTGCAGGAGAAGTGCCCTGCATGGTCCCTGTTCCTGGCAGTTCATGTCCCATCTGAGCAGGACAGCCCTTGTCCCTCACGTGGTGCACAGCCTGGTCCTGGGGTGCATGGGAATGTCCTGCCCTGCAGAGCTGCTAGTCCTGGTGCTTGCCAAGGCTGGTGCTGCAGAGGCTGCAGTATGTGTGGTCCAGGAGGTTTGCCCCAGTCTTTTTGGGTAGTCTGGCTCTGGGATCTCATGCCTGGTATCAGACTTGGGGCATTCTTCAGGATCCAAGCGGGAAGGCCAAGCATGATGTCGACTTTTCAGGGGAGTTCTGGAGCCTTCCTTTGGCAGGGTCATGTCCCTT